CACATGTTTCTATTACAGGGTGAATCTTAAACTGAAGCTTGACTTTAAAGCAACCCAACAGAAGTTTCATGTAACTTTAGTTCTTTCACTCGTAGCTCGGGCTGCGGGGGTTCTAGAGACGGGAGCATGTTGATGCGACCTTCCTAACCGGAGATATGGCCGCATTTTACAATAAACTTCCATTGGGTCGCTTAAAAACAAATATTGGAAATCGACTCGCAATATCTGTCAGAAAAATTGCAATTAGATATTTTCCCAAAATCGTGCAGCCCTAGTTAGGGCACAAACCCGCACATATTGTCAGTTTGATTTCCACCAGGGACCTTTATCGCAAGTCATTCGTTTTCTCATATGAGACATAAACATAATGGCAGGCAGCCCAGGTGGTTTTTGTGTCGAGTCTTTGAGTGAAATGTTTGAGGCAGTTTATTATATTAGCATTTGAAAGAGAGTTTTGAAGTTAGAGGCGACAAGAAAGCTAGGACCACTTGTTGATGTTATTTTTATGATCTGATTAAAAGGCCACCAAAAACACTTACAGTTGTTATTTCACATTTCAGTTTACTATACTTTCTTCTGTTATGTAGCCTAACATTGTAGAATGTTTATATGAAGTAAATCTATAAAATTATAAATATTTTATTTTAAAGTTTTTCTACTGATGTTTTTAGGAATAATACATATTTTTTAGATGTGTACATACTCTAACCTTGGATAGAATCAGTGCATAGTATGGAATTGGAACACAGTGTAGAGTTAACACTCACATCAGTAGAGGGAGCCCTCCTGATGGTTAAACTCCTGAAAGAAAAGGGAGCAACAATGTTCTGATCAGCCTCCAGTAACCTCATCAAGTCTCTTAATGACATGGAAAAGGAGCATAACGGCAACAAGCCGGACAGCAAAGGCATATGCTGAAGATGCTGAGGGGAGGGGAGTAGCAGCAACACAAATCTTAAAGAAAACACCAAAACAAAAAGAGACAAAAAGCCCAAAAAGCAGAGAACAATGGGTTTATGCTGAATCATATCCACATCATGGAGAATTACAGCAGGACTTTGCGGAGGGGGTTAGCGGAGAGTGAACACAAACCCACTGATGATGCTGAAGAGGTTTGGCATTAGCTCATATTCACATTGAATTATAATCACAGGTTTATTTGAGGTGAATTGATGTGGGATGGGGGGGCGTTAGAGGCTGGAGTTGATGGGCGTGGCCTACCTCAGCTGCAGAGCTTGCTCCACACATTCCAGCAGGCTCCTGCAACAGGAAGACCTGGTGTTTATACGCCTGAAGGGCCCTAACAATGGGGGGGAAGGAACCAGAGGCCCACTGCCCGCGCTCTCTGGAGCCCAAAAATACTGCCTATATTTCGGCTAAAACTGCTGACAATATTTGCTAAATGTTCTGGTTTATTACAAATCATGTCAGAATTGTGGCCATCAATACTATCAGAAATCCCAGGATGTAGCCAGGATATTAGAATTGAAATGTATTCTAAATTTAGTATTGTGTGGTTAAATCGGTTTTGTAAATGTTCCCCCAAAATGTATGCAAGTATGTCAAAACGGCCAGGCTCTGAAACAACGTTTTTAACAAGGTGTATTACCTACATTTTATTGTATTGTATTAATTAAATATGGCAGCTGTGATCATTTACCTTCAACAACACAACATGCATGGTTAAAATGTCATAAAAACAACAAGAAGTGGCATAAATCCCTTTGGTTTCTACAAAACAAAATGTAATCAAGGCATTACAAAAATCTGGTCATCAGTGATTATTTGAGAAGTAACATGTTGATTTAACTGATAGAAAAGGATGCTGACAGCTACACAAATAAGACCCAAGGTATAATAAACCAGAACGATCCTTTTCATACTAAAATAGTCACACCAACAGTAATATTGCAAATGAAATGAATCCTGCTACTAATATGTTTGTTACTATTACCACTGCTTTCAATACCAATACATGTTACATAACAATCAGCCCATTAAATCAGTCTCTTTAATATCCAGATGTGTCAATCAGATTCTCTCTGATTGTGTTCTAGTGTCCAATAATGCCACCAAATCCCTTAAGGTTATTTGTATTTTTTATGCAGAATTGCAGACCATATTACAAACATTTTTTCCAACATTCCCTATAATTATTTGTTTCAGGATTTAATAGAGATTTTAGAAAATGTTTAGCTAATGACTTTACAGATCAAATGTTATGTTTTTGGCAAGTGCAACAAAGTAAGCTATCGAAATTGAAATGAATAAGGCTCCATACTACAACACAATATCCAGTGCTCTTAAAACAGTACTATGCTGACTTATTGTACTTCTTTGACATTGTCGGAGTATGATAGAGCAGAACTATAGATATTATTATTCTATTGATTCTTCTTGTTTATTAAAACATGGATCCTACCTTGTCCACAATGCAACTTCCCCATCAGCAGTTTGAATGAGATGAAGGTGTGTTATACTAGTACTAGCTAACGTAGCTAGGAGCGTTCAGCCCAGGGAAGTCGAACACATGTCCCGAGGATCTAACCCACAACATGGTCCAATACTGGATGACTTTGCAAAGTTAGAAAATTGCAAAAAATACATCAATCCATATTTTTCAACACATGCACTGCAATTCGAATTTGTTTAATGGGGCTCACACTGTTTGAAAAAACGAAATAAGAACTTGCGAGGACATTTGAGAAGAGCTATGATTAATTCATTGTTTGTTCGATAAGAGAGACATTCTCCGATTTTTTTCTCAGATGTTTTGTAAATAATAATTATGAACTTGTTCAGAAAGTACTAGTTCTTTACACTTAAAGAAAGGAAGTATTGTGGCAGGGTTATTTATAGGTTATTATGCAATGGTTTTACTGGTCTGTCCCACTTGAGATCAAATCGGGCTGTGTGTGAACCCTGAACTAAAATGAGTTTGACAACTCTGCTCGAGCCTGCAGCAGAGAGGAAGAGCCACAGAGATCTGGTGAGCTTAACTCTTTCTAACTCAACACCTTCAGATTTATTTTCCTGAAAATCAGGGGAGTTTCCCTTCAACACATACATTTGACTTTTCATGTAGAAATTAAAACATTTCTCAAGCCAGGAAGAAGACTTTGGATTCGGAGGCACTATTGGACAGTGGTGAAAAACAGTATCACTGTATTTTGTTGAGAAAGGAGTTCCATTGTTGTCATCAGAATAATTACTGAATGAACATAGAAACATGAAAAAGAAGAAGACTTACGGCGAGTTGTCTTCATCTCCAGAGAGACTCCAGTCGTCATCATAAGAGCCATGCTGAGGGGGAACAGAGCCCGTTGGTACATGTCATTATGATACAGCACCGTCACAAAAACAGTCTGGAGAAAAAGAGACTTACCAAATCAGGATATGGTTCAGTGACTTTCCTCATTCGAGGCCCGAACTTCACTTGGTCAACTGGAAAGAAAACGTGATAGGAATGAGACGAGAGCTATGTAGTACTCACACAGAACTGTGGCTTATATTAGTAAGACAATTCAAAACAAGCCTTGGTGTTCACACAAAATCCAGACCTTTCCATGCACTATTGATGAGCACTCACCTTTTAAGTGTATTGTTAGCGCTAGCATAGGAGCTGCCGACAGGATGCACTCTGTAACCACACATCACCTACTATAGCGTCCATCATAAGCTAATAAGTATATACTATAAACTACAATAGATGATCACATTGTGACACTCAGTGGTGGACGAAGTACTTAGATCCTTTACTTAAGTAAAGTAAAAATACATTGGTCTGAAAATACTTTATTAGAAGAAAAAGTCCTGAATTCAAGATATTACTTAAGTATGGAAGTATAGGAGTCTTGTCAGCTAAATGTACTTAAAGTATCAAAAGTAAAAGTACCCATTATGCACCATGGCTGTTTTTTATGTATTATATTATTAGAGAATATTAAATCATTCCTTATTTTAATTATTGACAAATACATGTAGGAGCATTTAAACGTTGTAGTTTGTTTATATTAAGACCATTTCAGATTCTTTGTGCCATTGTCACCAGTGGTGTAAAGTCAGTAAGTACATTAACTCAAGTACTGTACTTAAGTACTTTTTTTAAATGACTTATTTCAAATTCAACTGCTACAACATTGATCTGATATGATTACTAGCTTGTGATGGCTAATGTTAACTAATGTTACAACCCTGTACAAAAGTTATATTAACATCTACGGTACAATTTACAGATAACAAATCTAATATATCGTATATACATGTGACATAAACCTTCAAGAAAAACCCAAATAAAAGCTAGATAAATAGCCAATCTTGCTTTCTTACACAAGCTAATGCTAGCTAACTGAAATACAGCAAAATGACACAGCAGTTTTGTATCATCTCCAGATGATCTCCATACATCAGGGCTTTAATGAGACATTAAATCAAAAAAGTATTTTATGTCATCATATTACACACACACACACACACACACACACACTTCTTCTTAAAAATATTATAAAGGATTTGGATAAAGAATTTCATGGACATTCATGGTCCCCAGAGGCGGAGACAATGTTCTTTGGTACGTCTACCTCACCATTTTTAAAATGCCCCCTGAAGGTAAAATAAATAATGATGTCGACAAGCCACTAAGAGCCCTCTGAA